GAGAGAGAGAGGGAGGGAGGGAGGGAGGGAGGGAGGGAGAGAGAGAGAGAGAGAGAGAGAGAGAGAGAGAGAGAGAGAGAGAGAGAGAGAGAGAGAGAAAGGCAGATATATTGATGGACAGACTAACGGAATATATCAAGTAGCAAACACGCTCAGGATAGTTTTCAACATGAATGAATGGCGCTCACCTGACTCTCAGAGATCGAGACGGCAAATTTCAAACAAATAACTAAAACGGAGTAAATACAAACAAGAAAATAGTAATGATAAAAAGAAAAAGTAAATGAAAGAAGTTTCGAGTGAGTTAGTATCAGCGAGGGTAACTAAAGGCAAGAATCGATTACGTAAGACTCTCTCATTAGGACAGCTCTCGGCACAGTCACGAATAGGCCTTCGATAACCCAGGAGATTCCAGACATTGCCGAGGCTCTCTGCTTCGCTAATAGAACGGATTTGTTTTAAGGTTTCACAAGCTGATTGTTTTTGCTTCGTTTACGTGAGGATGTATTCTCTGTTCGGACACTGAGTGAGGGTGCGAATAAGTAGGAGAGAGAGGAAAGTTGGGGTGGGGGGTGGAGGAGGAAGGGGAGAAGTTGAGAGCAAAGGAAAAACAGAGGCAGGTGCATATACGCACGGACAAACGCATACACACTTATGCAGTATATATGCCTACGTATATATATATATATGTACATATATATATATATATATATATATATATATATATATATATATATATGTATATATACATATACGCACACACATACACGCGCGCACATGTGTGTATATATGTGTATATATGTATATATATATATATTATATATATATATATATACATATATATATATATATATATATATATATATATACATATATATATATATATATATATATATATATATATATATATATATATATATATATATATATATATATATACATGTGTGAGCGAGCGAGTGAGTGTGTGTGTGTGAAGGAGAGAGAGAGAGAGAGAGAGAGAGAGAGAGAGAGAGAGAGAGAGAGAGAGAGAGAGAGAGAGAGAGAGAGAGAGAGAGAGAAAGGGGGGGGATAGTAATCAATACTGCCGATCGCTGAATTAATTATAGTTGAAGGTTATATTTATATGTAATGAAGGCGCCTCGACTGCGCAGGTCCTTAACTAGTTCTCCGATGCACTTCTCTGGCGTCCTGATTCTTATTTTCATTTGCTTATTATTCTCTGTTTATCTTTCATCATTCATTCTTATCTTATTTTCATTTCTTTACTGGTTTCGATTTCTGATATTCAACCTCGTTTAATTTCATTTTAAATAATTCAGAAATAATTTATAGTTAAGAAAGCAGAATGACAGACAAAAATTCTCTCAAAGTGGAAATCATATGTTTCATGCAACGCTCCCTTCAGATTGCATGATGCTATGCGTGCGTGGACACAGATACATGTACAGTAGATATATATAATCATTTCTATATTCATATCTATGTCTACATATATGCAGATGTACATAATGGTATAGGTATGTCGTTGTATATGGGGTTCAAGGACAGTACCCTATGAACTCCTCGTGCCAGGGTTACGGTGAAAGTGCTGGCAACAGGGCAGCGATTTCTGCAGAAGGCGTTTTTCAGTGCAACTAGTAGTTCACGGCAGATGCAGAATATGTCTGGCGGAAGTTTAATTATCTTAGTTAAATGGTACTGCGAACAAAGAAGAAAAATGGGGACCTTTACTTTGATAACTCTTGACCACATCCCAAATATGATTTTTTAGGATGCCACGGTTGATCAGCTCAATGAATTTCATGGCTTAATAAAAAAATATATGTGTGTTTGTGTGTATACACACACAAACACACATACACATATAAACACATTCAATCACAGTAATGTGTGCACAAAGATGAAAAAGGAAAACAGCCACTGCAAGAATTGAAAATAAATCGTGACGTTACGAACTCTTCACGAGTTCTTCTTCAGACGATAAACCGAAAGGGATACATGGAGAGAATTTTGACAAGGATATATGATGTTAAAGAGACAGAACGAACGAGCTGAATCAAGTCTCAGGAGGAGGGTCAAGGTCGGAGAGTCTGGGGAAGGCTTTGCTAAAGAGGACAAGCTCATCCAAGCCTCATTGACTAG